CGCTGCCGGCGGAGCCGGGGCGGGCGGCCCGGCCTCCGTGGAGCCGCCCGGCCGCAGCCCTGCGGGGACTGCGGGAGCCGCCGAGGGGCGGGCGGCTGCGGCCCCGCTTGAGGGGCTGGAGCGGGAGGAACGGTGGGTGTCCCGTCAGCTCCCCCCCCTCCAACCCCGTCCCGGCTTCCATGTCCGCTCTGCCCCTTCCCGGAGCGCCCGGGGAGCCGGGGCTTGGTGTGGGGGCGCCAAGCTCTCCCCGTCGCCCCGTCGAAGGGTGAGGGGGAAACAAACTCAGCCCTGTGGTGGAAGGTGGTTGTGAGGCCCTTCTTCCCCACTGACAGGGAGAAGGCATCCCTGCGGGTGGAGAAGGTGCTGTTGGGTCCCCTGCCCTCACAGCCCAAATCCTGCCTCACCTGACAGCATCAGGAGCAGCAACAGGCAGCTCCGGGCCCGCTCCCCCATGCTGTTGGGTCCCCTGCCCTCACAGCCCAAATCCTGCCTCACCTGACAGCATCAGCATCCCTGCGGGTTGAGAAGGTGCTGTTGGGTCCCCTGCCCTCGCCGCCCAAATCCTGCCTCACCTGACAGCATCAGGAGCAGCAACAGGCAGCTCCGGGCCCGCTCCCCGCCCGCTCCCCCATCTCCAGGGACTCTCCCCAGTCTGAACCTTCCACCTGGGCTCTCGGAAACGCTCCTGGTTTCTCCCCGTCCCTCTGTGCTTCCTTCACCTCCAAAGCCTCGCTCATCTCGGCGGCTTCCTTCCACCCATCTCTTGTAAAACAGCAGCAAGCTGAGTTTTGCTCGTCCCAAACGAGCCATTTTTGTTCTTGTCCTCAGGTCTGGGAAATCCAGTTTCTGCCTGCCTTGCTGGGAGCTGGCTCGAGACGGCTGAGCAGCCCTGATTAACAGCAGTAATGGGGAGTAGGTAAGTTCATTTGTTTTCCTGTTCACAACTTGCAGTCAGCCCAATAATAATAATGAAAAAGGATTTCACGTAGAACAGATTTTTCCTGAGCCTCTGAAACAATAAGCAGGAAGTCTACTTACACACACATTTAGTTCATGAGCTAAAATTTACATTGGAAGGACATGGGCAGAAAAAAGAAGAAAAAAAAAACCATAGCAGTGTCTGAATATAAGCAGCTATTCTATCTTTTTCCTTCTTCATTATATTGAAGATTTACTGACTATGGTGAACATGACCCTGCTGGAGTGTAAGAGATCATAGTAGCCTCCTCCTGTCTGGGTGCCTGAGGCCACTGAGAGTCTCCTCTGGTGCTGTCATGCTTATCACTGGATACAGCACATCACTGGATCTCCACTGAGGATGAAGTTTTCACACAGCTAGAATTTTTCCCCTGTTTTACTCCTCCTTCCCCCCTGTATTTCCAAACGTGTCAGTTTCCATCTGGTCTTTTTGAATGACTCACTAAAGGTGTTTTTCCTGACGCATCTGCACTCTGGAAACCTGCATTGTAAAAATGATGCAAAATCACAGATCTGATGGAACTTCATGTTAACCAGAGGTATTTCAGCATCCTCCCAAAAGTGGATCTGTATTCATTTCCAGGTCTAAATGAGAGGAAAGGTGAAATAAAAGCAAATTGGAATGGTATATTAATTGGAGTGTTATGTTAATAGAAGGCCTGTCTCAGATAAATGTTTTGTAAGTTAGTGGCTGCCCAGCCAACCGTTGTCATCCACAGTCTGGTGTAGACGGATTGATCAGGACAGCTGTCCTCAGGACTTTGACCACAAAGCCCACCAAACAGCCCTTGCACCCCACCCTAGCCTGAGATGATGTATTACTGACACAGCTGTGGGCAATTTCTTTTCCTCTGGTTTCATTTTAATCCCCTTCTCCCCCTCACCCACCCAGTCTAAAACTGTTCCTCTGTGAACCTCCTTTCTGCACTCTGAGTGATCTCTGCTCTGGTTGCCTTTCCAGTGAAGATTCCAGGTAAGTCACATTGACTCTTCTTCCTTTGTTCCCCCTGCGTGATGCTTCAGCTTGTCTTATCGCTTGGTCTCAGGCTCAAAGTCACACCGCAGGTTCCAGCAAGTGCACGTTTGGCTTTCCTTCCATTCAGCTACAGTATCACCTACATCAGTCTCTTCTGACTTCGGCCTCGGGGGTGTGATTCCACGGGCGGGTGAGCAAGTCCTAGCACCTACCCTGCCTGAAAAGCAGCTTTCCAGTTCTTGATGGGTTTGTCTTCAGCTGCTTTAGCATCCGTGCTGCTGCGAGGCAGGTGTCAGGCACACACAGCAGAGAGAGAGAACTGGAAAGGAGGAGGATTACATCCAAGTGTCCATTCATTCACTCCACAGAAGTATGTCTCGTGGCTGTCTCCTGTGTCCTGATGCCACGAGCTCTTTCCTTCTTTTTTTTTTTTAATTTGGGATCAATATCACTTAGCTGCTGGAAGCACTACCTGTCTTGGCGCCTACAGCCATGCTTTGTGTGCCATTTTAACATAGTGGATTTAATCAGAGGATAGACTCTTCTCCACCTTTATGTTCTCACTCATACATTTATTCATTGTTGACCTTGTGTACATAAATCTACATATTTAAAGTAAATTTCATTCCCATTAGAAGTTGGGAAGACTTTGTCAGACTATCAGCTATCAGTTTTCTCACAACTGCTTGGCTCTTCCATACGGCAGTTTCCATGCAACAGGGAGCTCATAATCAGTGAACAATTTCTAGTTTTTAAATAAGCCAGTACCTAGCTTTTACTTCCTAAATTCAGTTACACTACAACATTTATCATGCAGTAGCATAAGAAAACAGCAGCTATTTTACATTCTGAAGAAATACACAATTTCGTGAGAATATGATTTCATGAGAATTATCACGTAGGAGGGAAGTGACAGGACTGAATTTTTATAACAAGGGACTAAAACAGAGAACAAACCTAACTGTCCCCCACAGTTTCTGTCCTTGCTTTTCCTGAGCAACAGTATTCCCACTGCTGCTGCAAGGAACAAGAGGTAAATGACAAAACATAAATTATGTTTTCTTTGAAATACACTTTCTGACATGTTCTGAATATTTTTCTCTAAGCCTTGCAGGTACTTTCTTAAACAATAAAGCTATAATTTCATGTAGGAGATAGTGTACAAAACACGTTTCGTGCAGTGCTGATTTAAGTGCTGGTCTGAAAGATCTTTTTAAGTTTTCATACAGGGTTAGGAGATGGAGACGTTTAAGTAGAGAGAGAAACACGGATAGATTCTTTATGCAGCTGGGTATCTCAGAAGGAAGGAGCAATAGGAGACAGCCCCTTATAGCCTCCTAAATATGCCCCTCTGTTTATTGTAGAGCTATAGATCTCCTCCACAGACCCTGTTGGGAGACACATGCTGGGGAAGAGAGAGGGAAGAGATGTCATGGGCTGCAGGTCAGTGGCGTTAGGAACTTCTGTGTGCAGAGCAGAGCTTCAGGGCTGCCCTGAAGGATGAACTAGGTCAAGGATGCTGCTGGTGGAAGGGCAACGTAAAGCTCCCTTGACCTTTTTCCTCCCCCATTTTGCACCTTTGCCACAAACGCAACAGAGAAATTCGACTGAGATGCTGTAACCAGCTCATTAAGCATGTGCTCCTCGATGAGTACTACCTGGCTTTGGGGTTGAGTGCCAAGGTGAGTTGGGAACAGACACAGATACGTGCCTCCAGCAGTCTCTTCCCCCCACCCCATGCACCCAGGTGGAGTGGTCCCCCAAGGTCTGAGCAGGGCTGGGTGGGGGGAAAAATACTTCCAGCAAAGCTAGAGATGGTGACCTCGTGCCCGGTTGAGGGGCTGGTGAAAGCACAGAGCAAAGCAGTTTCAGAACAAGCTCTGCTTTTTAACAGCTTGTTCCAAATCCACACCGAGGCACTTCCATCGTAACCCTGAAGACGGGCTTATGCTGCAAATTGTTAACTGTTTGCTTTTTAAGAGATGTCTGTTCAGCATTGTTTGGCTTTTCTATACGCCATTGATGAATGTATTAAACCTATTTTCCAGATGTTCCCTATAGCTCTATATAAATATAAAGATCTTATAAATTATAAATACTGAAACAGCTTCTTCCTAAGAAACACTTCTTATAAAACACAGAGATATTGTCACTGCCCTACCTGCTTAGTAAATTTATTCTTTTCATCAATTAATTATCAGGGATGCAGATTATATCACAGTAGGTAATGCACCCCTGCTGTCTCCCTTTGCTGCCATTTAAACCACTTAAAGTGAAAAAAAAAAAAACACAATATAAATCTTGCCACCTAATGTTCCACTTTTGAGTAAACATTGGCAACCCCCAAATAACCCCAAATAATTCAAAATTCCTTCCATCTACGGTTCATCCTACCATTCCTGTCCCCAGAGGTCCCACTGGCAACCAGGTCTACTCTCCCATGAAAAGGCCTTGAAAAAGGATTCTTCACCACCAGCTCCTCCTCTGATCCTTATTAAAATATTATTTAAAATCCTGTGGCCTGACCAACTACTGTCACAAAAAGTAATGGAGAAACTTCCTACATGCTTCTTGCAAGATGTGTCTTCAGCTCTGGAAAATATACAGAGGCCTATGAAGTTCATGAGTAGGAGATGTTTACAAAAATAGTATCTGTATCAGATCTATAGAGGCAGGAATCATCCTCCGGGGACTGTTGCTCCAATATGCTCCTCTGCTGGCCTCCTGCCACTGGCAGTATGGATTCCCCAGTAAATGCTGCTTCTGGCAGAGGTCTCTGTAATTGCTTCATAGAAGTAATGGAGTAGATGCCACAAGAGTTAATTCTACATCAAGCCATATTAGCTACTGATAGGATTTTCATGTGGACTGAAAAGTAAATGAGATAGCAAAATGACTCATACAGTTCTTCTTTCTTGTTCAGAGCTCCTTCGGTGCAGGAGACAAATAGAAAGGCTTTTTATGAGGTTCAAAGAATGAAAAAAGCAGCGACAATGTAGTTCACATCCTGAAAGTGGTGTAACTTATCTGACATGTATGGAAGGCTGAGTCCTTTCAAGCTGGGAAAATATTTGAGGCTGTGTGAATCACCTGAAGATTAGAAGGGACACTGGGTGGAGGTATAGACGTAGGATATGTTTGCATTACATGTTGTGATACAAGCTCATGCTTACCTACACTCATACCTGAGCAAATGTGATCTTGTTCTGCCTGCACCAAGAGGTCATAAAAAATTTCATGAGAGTGTGTTACAGAGTCATAGAATCATAGAATGGTTAGAGTTGGAAGGAACCTTAAAGATCACTGAGTTCCAACATCCCTGGGACACCTCCCACTAAACCAGGTTGCTCAAAGCCCCATCCCACCTGGTCTTGAACACTTCCAGGGAAGGGGCATCCACAGCTTCTCTGGGCAACCTGTTCCAATGTCTCACCACCCTCACAGGAAAGAATTTCTTCCTAATATCTAATCTAAATCTACCCTCTTGCAGTTTAAAACCATTATCCCTCATGTCCTGTTGCTCCACTCCCTGATAAGGAGTCCATCCCCATATCTTCTGTAGGCGCCTCCTTCAAGTACTGGAACATTGCTATAAGGTCTCCCTGGAGCCTTCTTCAGGCTGAAAAACCCCAGCTCTCTCAGCCTATCTTTGTAGGAGAGGTGCTCCAGCCTTCTGATCATCTTTGTAGCCTCCTCTGGACCTGTTCTAACAGGTCCATGTCCTTCCTGTGCTGAGGGCTTCAGAGCCAGATGCATCAGTCCAGGTGGGTTGTCATGAGAGCAGAGTAGAGGGGCAGAATCACCTCCCTCAACCTGCTGGCCACGCTTCTATTGATGCCGCCCAGGATGCAGTTGGCTATTAGTTTACTGCTGAGACAGAACTAATCAATCCATCCCCTCAAATGCATTTACCAAAAAAACCCATCCTGGTTATTTTGTCCCATATTGCATTGCTGAGGACAGGTAATGGTGAGCCCCCAAAGATTATTTTTCCACTGACTGTGCACGGTGAGTTCTCAAATGGGCATATCCTGCTGAAGTAGAGACACGTACTTTGGATATCCTGGTGTCATCTGTTGAAAACTGAACACTGATGGAATATCCCAAACTAAGGTCAATCTTACTCGGAGGTATGAAATACTTTGATGTTAGCAAGATACTTTAAAAACACCCTGGCATCATCTATTGAAAACTGAACACTGATGGAGTATCCCAAACTAAGGTCAATCTTACTCAGAGGTATGAAATACTTTGATGTTAGCCAGATACCTTAAAACCACACTCATTTCAACACAGGTTGAATTTAAAAAAACATATGAAACAAATTTTAAGAATTTCTACAGTGGAGAGGTATGTCATCCCAACATATAAAGAGCAGGCAAGCAGGGGGCTAGCTGTAATCTAACAGCAGACAGTGCTCCCCTACCAATGTCACTGCAAGATCCCAGTTGTGTCACCTCACCTATTTGGCAGTATCTTCGTAAAATACCATCACCTTTCTTTGTAACACAAAGGTTTGCTGTATTGGTGCAGACACAAAGGTTCAATGCTCGGTGTTTGCCATTCTTTCTTTTCTCATCTTATCTTGTTATTTGCCTTCCATTAGCTTTTCTTAAGGATTTGTAGCTTCAGAACAACGTCGCTGATTTTTAGCAAGTGCAATATTCTCTCAGCATCTTCATCCATGTTTGATTTTTATCCAGAGTGATGCAGAAGTGTCATGTTCTGTTCTATATATATTAAATAAGATCTCATCTTTCATACAGTTTCTAGACTTTACAGAAGACGCAGGAAGGGAATTTACCATCTGGAACCGTGGTGGTGCAGTTTGTTCTGCGTTCAGCCTTTCGCTGATGCCTTTGTAGCCCACTGACCTACTGCATGCCACCAGGCATCACCTTCCTTCCGTTTGAACCGTGGCTCCCTGGCACTGCAGCTCAGTATCAAGGAACGAGCAGGTCTAGCCCGTTTCATCTGTCACAAGCTTCACCCACTCAGCAGCACCGTTCTGGTGAGTCTCTTTCATACATCTATTCTGCATCCTTGCATGCCCTTACCTTGTGTCTGAAGCAAGTTAATGCCAGCTCACGCGGAATGAGACTGGTGCTAGACAGAGCCATGCTCCGAAATTCTGGTTTCTTCTACTGGGGGCTGGGGCTTTTCCAGTGAAATGGGAAGGTGAGTGAGTTCCTCACCGTCAGGTAGGTAGCGCTGAGAGGGGAGGTCTGAGGAGGTTGCTTTGGAGGGTCAAAAGGGGTAGGTGAGATGCACTAGGAGAACAGACACCACTAATGACATAAATACACGAGGTGTACATTAGGGTGCAGGCATCTTTGATGCAGTCTGAGTCTTGCTTTGCCTTTTTTAAAACGTTTACTTTATTCTCTAGTGAACGTCTGGTTTCCAAACAGTGAGAGATACAGAAGCTACTTCTCCTAAAATGTCAGTTCAATCTATACTAGTGATGTTGCTCAAACTGCATTTTTAAAAATAATCTGCAAGCAGTTAATGTGCTTTTTAAATTCCCAGTGTTATGTAAAAAGGCACAATATTTTTAGCCTTACAAAATATCAGTTGTCATCTCTTCACTCTCCCTTTGATATATTGGAGATGGGGGACTAGAAGCTTGCAGAAACTGTAGATATTAACTCCTTTAAGAATAAGGGCTTTTTCCTGCATTATGATTTTGGAGTTATACAAATCTTAATAAAAACATACAAAAATACCCAAAAGCTTAAAATCAAGTCTGAATAATTCTTATTTTAAAAGCTAGTGATTCTGTCCACACTGCTAAATTCTTATGTCTGGAATAATGATAGTGTAATGTATCCAGAAGCAAAATATCGACTTAAACGGTTCACTCATGCACTGACAGAATGGCCCTCATATTTAAAAGATCTCCACAAAGTACCCTCTGCCATCTACCAGAGAGCACACAGCTGCTGTGAGTAGGCTCTGGCAAATCAACATTGACTCAAACTATTTTTGGAATCAAGTCAGGCCTGCTGCTGTTTCTGGAAGATCTGAATACATCTACCTGCTGTATTGTGCTGCATTCCATAAGGAATATGGTGGGATCCAGAATGTTTATCCTCTGTTTATTTGGAGGTGACCTCTCCATTCCCATCTGTGTTTCCAAGTCTTCTGAGGTCAAATGTTTTCACCTGCTGACAACCGCCTTAATAAGCACCTTTGGGCCGTGCTTCTTTCTGTGTTCTCTAATAAAATTTGAGGAACAGGATCTCAGAAGAGACTGCCTCACTACCTTTTCTTCTTATTGTCTTGCAAACCTTGACATGCGGATGATGCCCTCGGGTTCTTCTGGCCAGGAGGCATCCCCTACTGAAAGCAGGTCGGTCAAACATGTTTTCAATACAAGCATATCCCTTCGTTTTTTATCAAATCTCATTTTTATATTCTTAAGATAGAGGCTCGATGACTGCCTTAGGACACAGTTTTGGATACCTTGGCCGTAGGCCAAACAAACAAGAAGCAAAAGGATTATTTGCTGGTAGGACCCAGAAGTTCCTTTCATTACATTGGACACTATGTACCAAGGTGTTGGGAAGAAAGCTGTTGGTGGGAAGCTCAGGGAATGCAACACTGATCTAGAGAAATAGCTTTGTAAATGGCCCATTTATTTCTTCTGGCAGAACCAAGTCTAACACCGTCCCTGAAACCATCAGTCACTCTGCAGAAAATGGTTTGAATAGGGCTTTATCATAATCTGGACCCACCCTATTTCATTAGCAGCCTGATGAGATTCTGCTGGTTTAGTTTCCAGGCATCTTTCATTACCTGCTGCTCCCAGCTTTTAGCCAGCACTGTCACAGACATCATCTGGGATTCAAGAATCCCAGGGAAGAAGTGTTCTCCCAACTTTAGCCAGCACTGTCACAGACATCACCTGGGATTCAAGAATCCCAGGGAAGAAGTGTATTTTCATATGAAGCTTGAACACAGAGGATCTTCATGTAGGTTTCAACTGGCCAGATGCATACCTAAAGTTGTTTACATGTAAATGGAAGTACCTGGATAAGGGTAAAGGTTCCAAGTAACTTTTTTCATGGGCCATGGGAGCAAAGGGTCAGGAGGTTTGCTAAGTACCTAGGAGACACAGTCATCGTATTGACCATATTGACCTGGAGAATGCCTTGGTTGAAGGAAATGTATCTCCAGAAATGTATATCCACAGCTGAATTCTTTAATGCAACATCCTGAGCCCTTGCCCAAGAATCTGCTATTGACAGGTAGGGATGGTTCACTGTTAACAGAGGACAAGCCCTTTGCATTGGTGTAAAGTGGTGGTAGTCAGCTGATCCAGAAATTAGGCTATGCCTGTGCCATCCCAGCACACCTCTGTGCAAATTGCCAATGACTTGGTAATACAAGATGGAACACTTTCTGAGGATCTCCCCTGCATTTTGAACTATAGCTGTGGCTACTGATCTCTCAATATCACTTAGACTAGCTACAAAGAACTGGCAGTGGTGGCCTGTAACTGCTGCTACCATGTTCTCCACAGTCCGTGGCTTTCATACAGTGCCTGATCACTTTGCTAGACACAAAATGAACTTAGCACAAATCTCCAGTAAGGCCTGTCACATCCTTAATTTTTCAACCTACTGAAAATCATGCTCTGCTTGAAGATCAGCTCTCTCCCATAAGTTGTCACTTGTCAGAGACTCCTGGCTACCACTGAAAGGGCAGTGGCTCCGCTGCCAGGCCTTGCTAATTATCCTGACAACCCCGTGAAACAGTCAAAGATTTCTGTCTGGTCTGTAGTCATCTTCTTATTCATCCTGGCAGTAAGTTGACCAGCAAAGATACTAGTGGCCACAATGTACTTAAACATTGGGAACTGCAGAAGACTCCATATAGCTCCACACCTCTTGTTGTAGATAACATTTGGTGTAATGTTTTTTGCAAGCAAACTGTTATATTGTCTGTTTGGTTTGCTCCAGGCCCTTGGTTCCTTGATCACCTACACTGTGTACACACTAGGTTTTGCCAGGACTCCAAGCCGGAGTTAACCAGTTACTTGGTTTTGTGAGGCTTGTAAGAGAGGGTGGTTTGCTTCAGGATCCACACCCTATAGATAATCAGAGGGCTGGAGCACCTCTCCTATGAAGACAGGCTGAGGGAGCTGGGATTGTTCAGCCTGGAGAAGAGGAGGCTCCGGGGAGACCTTATAGCGGCCTTTCAATATCTGAAGGGTGCCTATAGAAGAGCTGGGGAGGGACTCTTTGCCAGGAAGGGTAATGATAGGACAAGGGGAAACGGTTTTAAATTGGAAGAAAAAAGATTCAGATTAGATCTCAGGAAGAAATTTTTTACTGTGAGGGTGGTGAGACACTGGAACAGGTTGCCCAGGGAAGTTGTGGATGCCCCATCCCTGGAGGTGTTCAAGGCCAGGCTGGATGGGGCCTTGAGCAACCTGGTCTGGTGGGAGGTGTCCCTGCCCATGGCAGGGGGGTTGGAACTAGATGATCTTTGAGGTCTCTTCCAACCCAAACCATTCCATGATTCTATGATAATGCAGGTGTGGACTACACCGGGCTTCAATCTTCCTGACCAGAACCATCTTCTTATGTATTCCCAGTGTACTCACAAGTCCTGGCATATGCGTGGCACATCTTCGTAGCCATGCTACAAAATAGAGAATTAGCAGTCTCCAAAGCCTGCTTATTTCGCTGTTTCACGCCTTATGCAAGAAAATAGCAGCACTTGGTGGGGGAGGGCACATGGGGGACTTGAGTGACCAGGATCCTGTCCCAGGTTAATGTTGCTGAGACTGTAGCTCAGCATCTCTGTCCCTTCAGTACTGAGCACCTGCACCAGATGCTTCCCTGGGAAGCCACCACAGAATTTATTCTATAATATGACCTAGGAAGAGACTCAGTATGAGACCAGGGCTGTTGGGAACCTGCTTTCTCCTCACAGATTTCTCACAGGGAGGATGTGGGGGAAGAACCCTTTTCCAAGGACACGACACCCTCCCCCCGACACATACACACTCTCAAATTATTCCTGGAACTTTTTGCCAAAATCTCCCAGGAGGTAACCAGGTGTGCACACAGCTTTGTTGAGTACCTGCATCTGCTTGATTACACCCGTTTGCAGGAAAGAGCTTGGCTTGTGCCATGCTTTGAAGACTACACTACATAATGAAGCGAAAAAAGGAGACTTCCACCACAAGAGCATGGCACTCGGGGGTGGAGAGAGGCTTGCACCACACACAGGAAGTCTTTAATTAGCAGGCTGACACAACTGTTTCTTTGACAGTCAGTTCTGACAAGCAATATTTGCACAGAACAGCCGAATACGTCACTGCTTGTCTTTGGTAGCAAGGGGTGAGGCATACCACTGGGCATCCCCAGTTCTAGAAGGACAGGGAGCTGCTGGAGAGGGTACAGCAGAGGACTACAAAGATAATTAGGGGCCTGGAGCATCTCTCTTATCAGGAGGGGCTGAGGGACTTGGGTCTTTTTAGTCTGGAGAAGAGAAGACTGAGGGGGGATCTGATCAATGCCTATAAATACTTAAAGGGTGGGTGTCAAGAGGACGGGGCCTGTCTTTTTTCAGTGGTGCCCAGGGATAGGACAAGAGGAAATGGGTACAAACTTGAATATAAGAAGTTCCACCTAAACATGAGGAGGAACTTCTTCACTTTAAGGGTGGCAGAGCCCTGGAACAGGCTGCCCAGAGAGGTGGTGGAGTCTCCTTCTCTGGAGACATTCAAAACCCACCTGGACACGTTCCTGTGCAACCTGCTCTGGGTGGACCTGCTTTGGCAGGGGAGGTTGGACTAGATGATCCCCAGAGGTCCCTTCCAACCCCATATCATTCTGTGATACCTATCCAAGGGTACCTTGGAATGTGGAAATGGCCACTTCCCAAGCAGAATGGGCTCTGGCAACCATCCATACTCAGCTGCATCCCACTGCCTTCTCCAGGCCTCGGCTGACTGCTCACGGTTTTCCAGAGTTGCAGAACAGCTCACATTCCACC